GCACTCTGTAGCTTTTTTAAAAAGTCAAAAATCTCAGTATTTAAAACATTTTGTTGACCGTAGTTCTAGCAGGTGGTGGCGATCATAGATACGGGTTTAATGTCTAGTTTTTTTTATTTTAAGCAGCGTATTTTGTGAAATTGTCGAGATGAGCTGCTCTTGGCTGCTGCCTTGGAGCGCCACCAAATGATCTCACCATGACTTTACCAGCATACAACTGACTAAATGCAGTTATGCATCCAGGGTTTAAGCACTTATAGCGCTTGTTCGTCAACTACCGACTAATCCTTATTATCTTCCAATACATTTTTTTCTCCAATATATATTTTTTGACTGCCAATTTATATGCCTTCTCAACCACTGCAGCCCAGTCATTGAGCATGGTAGTGTGGTACCTGCATCCATGAAAAGCCAAGAAAGCCAAGGAAGCCTTTTTACAGACTGCTTTTAAATAGCATCTCAAATATACATGAATTAGGTTAAAGATACTAAATGATGTTGCACTAGAGATCCCCCAATTTAAAAAAACAAAAAAAAACACTGGACTTTGTTTTCCAAGTTTGAAGACATTCTGCTTCCCATCAACAAACCTTGTATGCGAGTTATGTATGCAGTTCAGTGCAGTGAGAAATGCTCTGATCTTAAAATTGGAGAAACCAAACAATCTCGCCACAGACGCATGTCTCAACACAGGCGAGCAACCTCCTCTGGTCAAGATGCTGCTGTCCACCTGCACCTCAAGGACAGGAGACACTTGTTTGAGAGACAGATGGTTTGAAAGGGGTATCAAGGAAGCCATGTATGGTAAGAGAGAAAAAAAACAACCTTAAACAGAGGGGGTGGACTCAGGCTTCAGTTCTCAAAAACCTACAACGCAGTTTTAGAATTGATTCCTTCCCACTATCGCCTCAATCCTCATCGCCATGAAGGGTGGTGAAAACATTGCGCCTGTTAAGCCAGGCCAGTACCAACCCTAACGACTCCCTATTACAGAGGCATGGGCCAGTTTGCGGTTATTTTGCAGGCCAACAACAACCTTAATGACTCCCCATTTATAAGGGTTGGACTTTTTTTTTTTTTTTCAATTTGCATGTTTTCTAAGCCATAACAAGGCTCTATAAAACCTGGAACTCAACACCACTCCAGATGTTTTGAGTTAAAGCTTTATGGATGGGAAGCAAAACTTCTTCAAATTTGGAAACAAAGTCTAGTGGGTTTTTTTTTACTTTTTTTTTTTTGGAATGACTATGACTGAGAGTCTTCACCAGCATAGAGGTCCCCAACTTTAGGGAAATCTTCTGGCTTTCTTCTTCCTGCATAACAATCTTTTAACCAAGTCTTTTGCTAGTTATTTAAGCCAGATATCTTCCATGTTACTTCCTCTAATCTCTAAACTACACACTCCTTTGTGGACCTGTGGTCACAAATGTTCAAGCAGATTCAAAGCTAAATTATTAAATTTGAACATCACCTGAAAAATTTATATTAAAGTTAATTTTGTGTTACACAGACGATCCAAGATAGCTGCCAAGTCTACTTTTTTACTCCTTTTTCCCGCTGTCCTGCCATATTAGCAATCTCCTATAAATTTCCTGTATTATACAATTTATTTATTTATTTTTTACATTTTGATCAGCCTTTCCAAAGGGAACGGTCTCTAACATCATAAGTCAAATCTGACCACCTTTTTGCAGCATATGTTGGTTGATAAGTGTTTATTTTAGATTTCTTGTGCGCGTCTTAAAAATGTCTTTTCAAATCCAAAACTTGACAGGTATGCTCACCCATTCAAAGTGCCTCGTGCCGCTGATGTGTTTACTTTCATAACTATAAGTCAGATGAATGATAAACTAACCAAAAGGCAGTTATCTAAGTAGGCTTTATGAGCCCTTCCAACACGCCATAAAAAATGTTTTATGACTATGAATTGCAATTTCTTAGACTTACCAACTTCTAACAGGAAATTTCATGACAAACTGGCAGCTGATGTAATTATGCATTATAGTACAGTCTGCTTTGAAACTGTGTGTTCCTATTGAGATAAATATCATAAACAAACCAGGTAATGATGTTTTATCTGCTCCAGAGAAAGATTATGATAAGCTGGATGCTAGTGGCGGTTCTAGACCAATTTTAACAGGTTGGTTCATGTTGGTGTTTTTCATGGGGGGATAGAGCATAAGAATAAAAGAAAAAAACAGGGCAATAGTTATTATTAAATATATAAAGAGAGCCAAAAAAACACTCACAGCTCTAGAGGCTGTGATCTAGCAGATGAAGATTATAATCTTATCCCAATACATCTGAAACTAAAGGTGACGCCTTTGTGTTTATTGTTAAAATAAACCTGTAAATAAATTAAAACCAGTCAATTAAAGTTTCTATGCCAACTTATAATATAATGACCAAGTGATTTCCCTCTGGGATTATTAAAGTATTTCTGATTCTGATTATCTGGTATTATATCTTCAGTAGAGGGAACATAATAGAGCGCTGGCCCCCCTTTATCCCCTGTTTAGGACCACCCCTGCTGGATGCTAATAAAGGACACCAAACTTTTTTCTACAGCATAAGCTGAGATCCCTTCAATGCTTTGAAAAGGTTACTGTCTGGACTTAGTTCTCTTAGCAATCTCAGATGTTTAAACATCTTCCCAGCCGAAAAACGGCCTACATTTTCTTAATCTGGGTAGCCCAATTGTTATTATAGTGAAAGGAACAACCTGATTATATGATTTAAAAAATACATTTGTGTTTATATTTTATTTAAAGAATATATTATTCCTGGAAAAAATCAATAATAAATTGAAAATGTCTTCATTTCAACAGTATGACTAAATGAGATGGGCGATGGCGGCTCAGGATGCAGGAGTTCACCCTGTAACAGCAGGGTTGCTGGTTTGAGCCTCAACTCTGTTCATTTTCTATTCACCAGCCGTGCCTTCTATCAGTAGTGAGAGGCCTCAATGGGCTGATGGCGGTCTTGCTTATTAAGTACATGGGATTTACTAGAAAAAATTAACAATAACAAAAAAAATCTAACTTCTAAAAGTGACTTTCAACAAGAAATCCATTCAAATAATGGTTATGTCGAAAGGTAAAGAAACACACATAGTTTGAACTATTCAATACCTTACTTCACGTAAGGAGAGAGTTCAGAAAAGGTATGAAGACTTTATCAGAAGAATGTCTGCAGGTTGGGAGACAGAAGATCATTTTATCTTGTGATGGAAGAGGAAGCAGGAAGCAAAAATGAAGAAAAAAAAATACTTTAGATTTAACCTTTTTTTTTTTCTCCAATACCTGTTTACATAAAGCTTCTGAATGATCAAACCAAAGTTTTCCTAATTCTCTGTAAAGGAAAAGAGTATTCATCTCAAAGTAGTTAAAGATTAAAATGTAAAACACTAAAACTTCTTTCTAAAACAACTTTGTCATTTGTGATTTCCATGTAGCACAGACAGTGGAGTAGAATATTAGTCATTGAATTTAAATGTTAAAAAAACTAAAGAGTTTTTTAACAATCTAGGTCAGACTTTTTATAGAATTGCAAAGCATTTTAACAACAGTAGGACACTTTTTATTCTCATTATTCAGAAAAGATGTTGTTTTTTTTACATAATTTACACCAAATAACATCACATAGCAGAAAATGTATACATGCTATTTTGCTGAAGTTTTTTCAAATTTTTCTCTAAATTGGAAAAAAAATGGAGATTCTTGAAAAATGGCAAAAGATTTTCTACCTACACTGCAAAAACAATCCAGAAATAAGTAAAAAATGGCTTAAATTAAGTATATTTAGCCTTAATTTGAGCAGGTAAATAAGATGATTTGCCAATGGAATGAGTATTTCACTCTTAAAATAAGATAGTTAGATAATATTTACTTGAAATAAGACGATAAAATAGTTTTTTCTTATTTTAAAAGGAAATTGTCTTGTTCCATTGGCAAAGTGTCTTACTTACCTCCTCAAATCAAGAAAAAACACACTTATTTTAAGAAAAAATAACTTATTGAGATTTATATTTTTTGCAGTGTATCAGAAATAATATGTTTACTTTTAACAAAGGTCAGTACTATTCACAGTTCAAAACCAAAAATAGCATTCTGGATCTCAAAGGCCGTAGATCTCAGCTCTAGGTTATTACCTAATTCTACAAAAGAAGGTGATTTTCATATCTGTGAATGTGCAATAAAAATAATTTGTATTTTTTATCTACAAAGTCGTTTTTTTGTCTTTGTTTGCCTCAGAAAGCAGCAACTGATGAAATCCTAAACTAAAAATAAAACAAAAGCACTTTTGACTGGTTGATTTACAGTTTCAGGTCAAATCAAAACATTAATACAGAACAAATAGCATTTAGATCTGCTTGGATATTTGTGCAGTATGTGAGTTTATGCTCACTATAAAGAAGTCCTTTCAGATTATATAAAAAAGTACACTGATAAAATGTCTTATCAGATTATCATCTGTTGAACTCTATCAATAGTTTTTTTCTTTATTTGCATGTGCTCGTGTCAAAGGGAAGAACGTGATGACAATCTGACTGTAACCTACTAACTTGATAAAGGGTGGAAAAAAGTACACAATGTTTTCATAATGTGGTCAGATCAATTAGAAACCACGCGTTGATGTAAACATTTGCCAACGTCATGCTGAAGCCTCTTGTCATATCTCATTCTGCATCTGAACAAATAAATGCAATGTTTACTGTATATCAATACACGGCTTATTGATCATTTACTGAACCAAAAATAGGTGTTGCAAGAGAGGGTTTCCTTTCAGTCATTTTCATTTTACTGGTGTAATTGTTGACATTCCTGTTAAAAGGGGGAAGGGATGAATGAACAAAGTAGAACTGGATTTTTTTTTTTTTTTTTTCCTACTCGTGTTATTTTGTGTGTCAAATGAGCCAATGACGTTGCAGCTTCTTCAGGAATCATTGAGAGCAGGGGAGGAGCACTCTGTCCTGCTGTGATATAAACCCGGCCGGACCAGCCTTCTGCTCATTATCAGGACAGACCATCCACAGCTCCTCAGAATATTCCAGACTGAAGAATCCTCCCATTATACAACAGCATTTTTCTACAACTTTTTTTTTGTCCTGCTTTGGAACTCAAAATCCACTTTTTTCCCTCAAACCTTTGAATTTATCTTCAAAAATGCTTCCAGAGACACACAAGAGGTGAGTGGAGATTTAAAAGGACCTCTTTCCTTATACAGCCGAGCACATGGGTCCCTCCTGGACACGTTGGAGAGCAAAAAATAGGGTTCAGGAATGTGTGGGCAGGGTCGAGGTGGAGGTGGGGGTGGGTGTAAGACAGAGACATATGTGCACAAGACTGGAGAGTTCAGAGGGCGCTTCTTTTAACCTTTAGGCAGTCAGAAATAAAATTTTTAACTCTAGTTCATAGTCACAGAAATAAAACAAAAAACTTATAGTTATAATCTGGTTGAATAGAATCCAATTGGTCTAAATATAAAAGATTATTTTCAATTATTGTTCCTTTTTCAAGCAATTGGCTGTTTTCTGTGTGATTTATGCAAAAAGAAAATATCAAAGGAAACAAAATACATTATTTCCAATAAATATTTTAACAGAGCGGTTATATATTCCTCCATAATGAAGGAGGTTACTAATAAAGGTATGCTTCAGGTTTGGTAACACCAATCTCTTGACATTTTGTGTCGATGCCATTCAGTTTTAGCTATGACGACTGCAAGGCCACTGCTGACTGGCTGCTGGCGCAGATAGACATCCGACCAACTGTGGGCATCGTGTGCGGCTCCGGCCTCGGAGGGTTGGCCGACCTTTTAAAGGACCAGGTGGCCTTTGACTATAAGGACATCCCAAACTTTCCTCAGAGCACCGGTGAGTTACATAAAACGTCCTTGGATGGCAACCGCCCCGTCATGTACTGTTAATATTTACTGACCAGTTGTGGTCTCTCCTCAGTGCATGGACATGCAGGGAGGCTGGTGTTCGGCACCATGAAGGGGAGGCCTTGTGTTTGCATGCAGGGTCGTTTTCATCTCTATGAGGGCTATCCAATTCAGAAGGTAGATTCACGCTGCTGTTACAGTATAATAAACCAACATTTCTTGAAGATTCTTGAAGAACCATAAAGCACATCAGCTAATTTTGAACCCTATGGGTTTTTGTTTTTTAGATCACTCTGCCAATGCGTATCTTCAAGCTGCTTGGGGTTGAGACAGTGATTATCACCAATGCAGCTGGAGGCCTGAACCAAGACTTTAAGGTGGGCGACATCATGGTCATCAAAGACCACATCAACTTACCCGGGTTTGCTGGAACCAATCCACTGGTTGGACCAAATGATGAAAGGTAATCATATCCTCTTGAGGCGTTGAACCAGCTGAACTTCTCTACCAATACTCAACATCTCTATAATGTCTTCCTCATAGGTTTGGCGTGCGGTTCCCCTGCATGTCTGACGCATATGACAGAGATCTGCAGCAGCTGGCCATGGAAGTGGGACAGGAGTTGGGGTACGGAGACTTCTTGAAAGAGGGAGTATACTGCGTACTCGGGGGGCCTTCATTCGAGACGATCGCAGAGTGCCGAATGCTGCATTTATTGGGTGCTGATGCTGTTGGTGAGTAGATTTTATTGTAGTAATAACTACCGGGCACCAATAAAGATAAGCCATACAACCTGGGATGTGGCATGTTTGAAGGAAGGGAGGGCACTCCATTCATAAGAGACAGTTTTATTTTAAAAGTCTGGGACTTTATCTACATTATTTACTTAAATGGTTGCTGCACACGAGGCTGGTAGGAGAGTTACAAGAGAGCATCTTAAAGTACATTGATGTAAATATTTCCTTTCTAATTGCCATGAAGGAATAATTTTATAAGCTGTAAAGCCAAGGCAAGATAAGATGAAACTGATTCCAACCATTAGGAAAAATAATCTGACTTCAAATGTTGCTTTTATCATCTTCATTAGGCATGAGCACTGTCCACGAAGTGATCGTCGCCCGTCACTGCGGCATGCGCGTCTTCGCCCTGTCTTTGATCACCAACTTAGGGGTGATGGACTACGACAGCGAGGAGAAGGCCAACCACGAGGAAGTCCTCCAAACAGGCAAACAGCGAGCAGAACAAATGGAGCAGCTAGTTTCCTCTGTAGTGAACCGGATTGAACCCAACAACAACTACATCTGAGAACAAGGAGATTACTGCCAAAAGTAGACTCCTTCTGCATCTAAAATTTGCTATGATATGGCAAAACCTTTGCCTCTGTAACGTGTAGGACATACATTCCCCTAAAGGGTGGCTCCACAATAAGTCACTTCTCTGTTTTCTTGTGTTTTTTTAAAGGCATGTTTGTTCTAACTTATATGATCAACTTGTAAAATAACTATTGTTTAACTTAACAATCATCACAAATTTTCTGTACCAATCTTAACATTATGTGATTGAAACATGTACATTGTACCAGGTATTTTACTGCTTGTTTTTTTTAAAGGTGTTGCAACTAAAAGTGCTATTTATTAAAACGCTGAGTTCGTCTGTGTCATTGGTTGGGATGTTGGATGGAAATAATAGAGTTAGAGACATTTCAAACTGAGATGAAAATAGAAAACCACAAGGTAAAAAAATTTCTCTTTTTGTGTTGATTTAACATTTTTGGTAACCTATGCTTTTAAATCAGCTGATCCTAATCTTTTGTTTATCCTTTTTTTTAAGATTGACAGGCTGCAAAAATAATTATATTTTTATTTGATCTTAAGGTTTATGTTGCTCTTCATGAACTGAGAGGTTAGTCAAAAAATCTTCAAAGCAAAAAAAAAGTGGCATTTTCTGTTCGGATAACATTTGGTTGTTTAGGAGTGATGCAGTAGTACGCCATTCTGCCCTAATACAGTGGCCCAAACATGGACTTTAAACTAAAACCACAGCCTTTGGTCTGAGACAAAACAACAAACACTCCAGTGAGTTTGACGTAACACGAGGAGTGAATTCCACGAAGAGTAAATCAGTGTGTTGTATAGTGGAGGAGTTATGATGCTTGAGGTCTGTTTTTTTTTGTTTTTTTTTCAAAATCCCTGGAATCCATTTTCAAGTGCAGGGCATCATGAACTTCAATGTAGCAGGACATTTTAAACAAACATCTGGTGGACTCCACCAAAAAAAGTAGATATCCTTCATCACTGGACGTTTCAGCTGGGCATTGATCCAAACATGGTGTTTTATCAACTGGTAATAGACCCAGAAAATACTTGAAATGAATTCCAGTGGGGTGAGATGCAAAGACCATTAGATTGCAGGACTCAAAACAATCTATTCAATGGACGCTCCTCTTGGTCCCCAGCCAGAGTTTTGCTGAAAATTGAAAAGAGAGATCATATTTCTACTATCATAGCTTCTCTGCAACAGTATCCAGAATAGAATTTAAAATTCTTCCCACATGTAAGGCCTTAAATGGCCAAGCTCCATCTTATATAAGAGATCTAATTGTTCCTTATGTCCCAAACAGAGCACTTCGCTCTCAATCTGCAGGTTTACTAGTAAAAACAGCAGACACCCTGTCTACTTTTAAGACTAGGCTTAAAACTTTCCCTTTTGATTAAGCTTATTGAGTGGCTCAGGTTATCCTGAGCTATATCTATAGTTATGTTGCTATAGGCTTACACTGCTGGAGGACATGGGGGACCCCTTTTCATCATCATATATTTATTATCCCATGCAGCAATATTTGTTAGTTCTCTCTCTAATATCTCGTTTTCTCATAGTAGTTTCATCTGGTCTGGTCCTGTTTTGCTGTTACACCATCCTATAGAGAAATATGAGCTGTGCTGCTGCCATCAACATTGTTTTTAGATGTTGGAGCTTGGCCTATTTTTTTGTGTTAAGTCCCGTTTCTCTTACTGTGACTAACTGGATGTGCTCTCTTTCATCCTCTGACATGGAAGCCTGCTCAGAACTTGTCTGCCTGGCTGTGTGTTTCCTGGACAGGGCAGCCTGTGGAGCTGGTTGACAGTTGCCTTTTGTATCTTTGCTTCTTTCTGTATGTCTGCTTCTGTCTCCTTGAACCCCAGTCGGCATCGGCAGATGGCTGCTCACACTGAGCCTGGTTCTGCTGGGGGTTCCTTCCTGTTAAAAGGGAGTTTTCCTCTCCACTGTCCCTACATGTATGCTTGGTGTGAGGGATAACTGAAGAGTTGATGCAATCAGCTGGTTTCCCTTGGATAGAAAACTTTGATCCAATCTGGCTGTATCATCTGGTAAATTTCTCTTTAAAGTGCCTTTTAATGACATGTGAATTGGACGCAACATCAACTAAATTTAATTGGTTTACTTCAACCATGAAGAATATCAGAGGAAAGAGTTAAAGAAGTAGAACAAAATGTACTGATTAGTGTATGAATAACTTCACAACTGGTAAAATGGATTAAAATCAATATTATGGTATTTTCCCCTCTATCCTATTACAAATAGAATAGGGTTTTTCTGAGATAATGCTACAGTGATAAAGGTTGAGTTTCAATAAGGTATTTGTTCCATAATTATGACCTTATTTTCACACTTTAAGAAAATGAAAGACTTCATTGATGGTGGATTCAAAGGCTCTTGTTTATTTTCAAAGTGTGTATAGAAGCTCAAACATAAACCATAACGTTGCATGATGTATTAGTTCAAAGTGACCCAGAATTTTGCCCTGTGTAAACTTGACACAACATTACATAAGCAGTATGCTGCAAATGTCAAAGAGCATCAGCACATGATGCAAAGTAAAGGGGTTGGCTTTCTTGACTTAAAGAGACAGGTCGCAAATTCTGTTCTCCCACTTAAAGACTGTATTAAAAAAAGTTATAATGGCAAACATGTAAATCTGTTGCATGTATGAAACATTCAAAGGCTTGATGCTGATAAAGCTGCAACATTTTATATGTAAATCTCTCACAAAATCTTGCTCCCAATATAGAAAAACGGATCACAGCGGATAATTTCTACCTTTGACACATCATGCACACCCTATCCATCCATTTTGCACATTTTTTTACTCATTATAAACTTTAAAATGAAAGCACACATCTATCCCCTGCCCAGAGTATAAAATCTAGCTGTCACAAAAAGGTACAACACCCCCACCCCAAGATATTACAGAACAGTCTGGAATGCCATGCATAATAATGAGCAGGTATATGATAAAGCTAAAAAGGATAAGATATATAAAATACAACACATTCTCTGTGATACAGTGCAATACCTATGTGTTTGCATAAACTGCCAGGCCACAGTAACGTTGCATGAATGCTGAACCAGGACTTCAAGTATGGCACAAGAAGTATTAAAATTCTAAATCAGCAGCACTGCTGTAGATTTATGCACATTTTTCTGTGTTTGTAGATTAAATGCTGGAAGTAATTTTGAGAGGTTTGCTCTCATTTTGTCGGCTTTATGCACCAGTGGACTAGGATATTGTGAAAGTCTTTCCCCTCAGCTGTCCAGACTGAGGGAAAAGTCCAGACTTTGAATTACCATCGATGTCTATCATTAAAAAAATGATAGAGGATAAAAAAAAAAGCGTTCCAGTTGAGCTTTTTCAGCATAGATTTTAAAATACAATTACATCTTGCACAGAAAAACCTCAAAAAGAAAGGGGCACAATTCAGTCATCTAGGACTTTTTCTGTCTTAATATGTATATTAACTGCAGTGAACAATTTTTAAAACAGACTTTAAATAACTCAAAATGAGATGAAATGATCCGATACATGGATTGGATCCAATATATAGGTATATTTTTACTGTTCAAGCAACTTTACTCTGATCAAAAACAAAGATGTTTTTTTAAGTTAACGTTAGTTTTCCAGGCTAGCTGTAGCAAAGTTAAGAAAAAGGCAGATGTCTGCTGGGTTAAACGACTCCAATTATAAAAAATGTCATATCCATTTATGCAAACTTTATCTCATAAACCATTAAATCATGGTCTAATTTTTAAAAGTTATTCAAATAAATGTCTGCAAGTTTTACAAAATAGTGTTAGCTTGTTTTCCATCAAAATGATCCGTTTGAACACAAAGTGAACAACAGGACTTCTGTACCTTAAGTTTTACATTCAAATCTTTAAAGTGCCAATTTTTACTTTAGATGAATACAGCTTCAGTAAAAAAAAAAATTAATGAGGGCTTATAATTTTTTTCATATAAAGTGCTATACAAAAGTTTGACAAAGGCAATTTAAAATCTACTTTACTCTAGCCCTGCTCTAGCTAGCTATTAGCGCTATAACTGATCTCTATTCCTTCAAAGCAAAATGCCAAGAATTAACTACTGTAGACAAGACATTTACATTTTCTTCTTAGTTAGTAAAAGCAACTTAAAATTAGCTGTACTTTTAAATTATAACAGAGACTACTGAGTCGCAGAGCGCTGGAGGCGCTAATTAGCTAAACAGCTAATAGTAGCGCATCAAAAACTGACAGTGACCAACCTCAAAAATTTTTTTTAACAAAATGCTTTTATTAGAGTATGAAAAAAAAAATATCAAAAATGGGTAAGACATTTTAAAAATTAGAGTGCTTTTACTACAACTCATACTTTTCCCTGTATAGATAGAACTCATGGAAGAGATGTGCGGCCTATAAACACATTTTACATGCGTTAAAAAAAACATACATGTCGTAAAGCCCCAAATAGGTGTTAAGTATTCCTTTTAGAGGGAGAACACGTGAGCATTTCAAACCCGAAAGGCTTAATGCTAAAAGAAAAATCCAGCATGTGAAGAATTATCGTCTTAAAAGAAATCCTAATCCCTTTAAACCCAACGTTATGTTAAAGTAAAACATTTTTATGTAAATTACAAAAAAGTGCTGCAAAGAGTAAAACGTCTTAGACCCGACCAATTATTGGTTTTATTCCCATGTAATTGATTTGCATTCGTTCAGGTAAAAAACAAAATAAAATGGCACCCAGAGTGAGCAAGGCTATAATAAGTAAACCATGTTCATTTGGCGAAACAAGCAACAAAATTGGCACATTTCTGATTCAGGCACTGGAATGACTAGTCCGTTTGTTTTAGGATCAGAGGGCCTCAACGGAAAGCAGCCTGGAGAAGAGGAGAAGCAGGAAGAGGAAAGGCACTTGTAAAGAAAAATCAGGGAATACTGGGCCAGGAGCTGCAGCGGAACGTGCTTCATCTAGTTCCCTTGTTTCTAGGCAAACA